TCTTTCTATCTCTATCTATCTCTATCTATCTCTATCTATCTCTTTCTATCTCTATCTATCTATCTATATCTATCTATATCTATCTATATCTATCTATATCTATCTATATCTATCTATATCTATCTATATCTATCTATATCTATCTATATCTATCATCTATCTATCATCTATCTATCATCTATCTATATCTATCTATATCTATCTATATCTATCTATATCTATCTATATCTATCTATATCTATCTATATCTATCTATATCTATCTATATCTATCTATATCTATCTATATCTATCTATATCTATCTATATCTATCTATATCTATCTATATCTATCTATATCTATCTATATCTATCTATATCTATCTATATCTATCTAGATCTATCTATATCTATCTATATCTATCTATATCTATCTATATCTATCTATATCTATCTATATCTATCTATATCTATCTATTTCTATCTATATCTATCTATATCTAGCTATATCTATCTATATCTATCTATATCTATCTATATCTATCTATATCTATCTATATCTATCTATATCTATCTATATCTATCTATATCTATCTATATCTATCTATATCTATCTATATCTATCTATATCTATCTATATCTATCTATATCTATCTCTATCTATCTATCTCTATCTATCTATCTCTATCTATCTATCTCTATCTATCTATCTCTATCTATCTATATCTATCTATATCTATCTATCTATATCTATCTATCTATCTCTATCTATCTATCTATCTATCTCTATCTATCTATCTATCTATCTATCTCTATCTATCTATCTATCTATCTCTATCTATCTCTATCTATCTCTATCTATCTATCTATATACATATTTGCTGTAGATGTGTCCTATATAGATCATACCAAGTAGTGGAATTTTGATTTCCAAAAATAATAATGACAGCAATGTTCCAAAAACCAGTAACCAAACAATGGCTGGTCAATAGGGATTTCCATAATTTCATACAACTCTCTCTCCCGAAGATCCAAGGATTCTTCCTATGAGCTAAAGACAAGTGCTATCCTGGTCTGATCGAAACTTCCTCATCATCTACGGCCTGTGCGATTGCAAAAAGTGGTGCCAATTTCATCCACATCTGGCTGTGGGAATGCAGTGGGATGGGTCAACAATTATGACTCATGACATCTCATGACCCTGAAGACTACAGTTTTTCAATATATTTCAATTCTTCTAACTGTCCACTTTTTGTGCATGAACAACGATTTTCAAGGCGTTCGACAACCCCTCCATGCCTCCACGGCCAAGGAAGAAGGCAAAGTGAGCTCTGTTTGCCTTGAGAATGACCAACAAAGATAACAAAGGACACCAAAGATCAGTTTATGATACTTTATGGTGGATGATCTTCCTGTCATCCACCACCAAATTAGTAGTGAAATCCCCATTTTTTAACCAAGCCTTTTTTGTGAGTCTCCCAGTCTCTGTTGACAGACTGCGAGCTCCCCGGCTGGTCGGTAAAGAGCGACCTGGAGGACACGTTTAAGGGAGCACCTGGCAACGAAAGTGCGGAGTTTGATGGGGAATTGATGAGAAAAAAATGGGTTTCATGGGTATATTTAATGGGATATTTCATGGTTAAGAGAGATCAATAGTGATTATCTGGTTGGTGGTTTCAACCCCTCTGAAAAATATGAGTTCGTCAGTTGGGATGATGAAATTCCCAAGATATGGAAAAATAAAAAATGTCCCAAACCACCAACCAAAGCAACTATTTGACCTTGAAAAACATGATATTTACCGCCCAAATGGTGATCATCCAATTCGTCGTGTTCTCACCACATATCAACACTATAGAATTGGGGGCAACAGTCCAAGTACGAAACCTGGGTAAACTAAGCATAGTACAAATACTGGCTTCGATATTGTAGCTAGGATGCACATCGGTGGGGATTTTCATTTAGGATCCAACCCCCATGACCTCAAACTTGTTGGGAGTACCGATTTCCACCAGAAAGTGCTTCATAACCCATCTATCACTGGGCAAATTCGCTTCTGAACCCAACCCGCTACACGCATCTAGGTCCGCTAGGTCGGTCGGTCGGAGATTGCCATCCCTCAACTTCCCTTGGCCTACCAACCAGGGCGAGAGGATATCATCATTGATCAATGCACCTGGACGGGTTTCAGCTGTTTGGACGGGTTGAAAAACATGTTCGCCGCAACTATCGTCGTCGTTGCTCCACACTTACAATCGTCGTCGTCATCGTCGTCGTCGTCATCGTCATCGTCATCGTCATCATCATCATCATCACCATCACCATCACATTAAAATTTGCGACCCCCTCTGAACAATATGTTGACTGGGGTAATAACATCAACTTTATCTTCATGAGGGATAAACATGTTGATTGGGGTAATAACATCAACTTTATCTTCATAGCCACCAGAAGTCAGACGCGGCGCAACGTCAGGGTTGCAGCGAACATGTTTCAACGGGGTATAATGTCCCAATAGAACCCACAACTCAAAAACGAGTTTAAATGATCATAAATGATCTATCCGAAGGAAGATTGGATCTACCTGTTGTCATTTTGGATCCATATTCGCTAATTAGCTGAACACCAATGGCGTTCTGCATCTCTCAGCGCCACACTCTCTGCTCGATAGTCCGACTCCTTTGGACCGTTGGAGATGATGGGAGCATATCGATGCAGCTACGCTTTTACGTATATGTGGAGGTTTCTCAAAATGGTGGTACCCCTGTTCATCATCCGTTTATAGATGGGATGTTCCATTGTAAGCCACCCAGCGATAAAGGGGATGTCTCATTTTATGGAAACCCTTATGTATAAACAGTATGTACTCATTGATGGGGTGACATGGATAGCCATCCAGCTTCGAGGGCTGCCATGGCGAACCTAGAGGATAAACAGTAAATGTGATGTAGACATAACATGTATTGCGTTTTGTATCTCTATGCAAAAATGTCTTAATCATATACATTCTACACATAGGGATATCATAAAAATCACCTATCATACACCTATCATACACCTATTATACACCTATTACACACCTATTATACACCCTTTATACACCTATCATACACCTATTATACACCTATTATACACCTATTATACACCTATTATACACCTATCATACACCTATTATACACCTATTATACACCTATTATACAAACCTATGACAAACACACCCTAGTGATACACCCTTTATAACACCCTATCATATCACCTCTTATAACACCTATCATACACCTATCATACACCTATTATACACCTATTACACACCTATTATACACCCTTTATACACCTATCATACACCTATTATACACCTATTATACACCTATTATACACCTATTATACACCTATCATACACCTATTATACACCTATTATACACCTATTATACACCTATTATACACCTATTATACACCTATCATACACCTATTATACACCTATCATACACCTATTATACACCTATTACACACCTATTATACACCCTTTATACACCTATCATACACCTATTATACACCTATTATACACCTATTATACACCTATTATACACCTATCATACACCTATTATACACCTATTATACACCTATTATACACCTATTATACACCTATTATACACCCTTTATACACCTATCATACACCTATTATACACCTATTATACACCTATTACACACCTATTATACACCTATTATACACCTATTATACACCTATTATACACCTATTATACACCTATCATACACCTATTATACACCCATCATACACCTATTATACACCTATTACACACCTATTATACACCTATTATACACCTCTCATACACCTATGATACACCTATTATACACCTATTTACACACACCTATTATAACACCTATTATACACCTATTACACACTATTATACCCCTTTTACACCTATCATACACCTATCATACACCTATTATACACCTATTATACACCTATTATACACCTATTATACACCTATCATACACCTATTATACACCTATTATACACCTATTACACACCTATTATACACCTATTATACACCTATCATACACCTATTATACACCTATTATACACCTATTACACACCTATTATACACCTATTATACACCTATTACACACCTATTATACACCTATTATACACCTATCATACACCTATTATACACCTATTATACACCTATTACACACCTATTATACACCTATTATACACCTATCATACACCTATTATACACCTATTATACACCTATTACACACCTATTATACACCAATTATACACCTATTATACACCTATTATACACCTATCATACACCTATCATACACCTATCATACACCTATCATACACCTATTATACACCTATTATACACCTATTATACACCTATCATACACCTATTATACACCTATTATACACCTATTACACACCTATTATACACCTATTATACACCTATCATACACCTATTATACACCTATTATACACCTATTACACACCTATTATACACCTATTATACACCTATTATACACCTATTACACACCTATTATACACCTATTATACACCTATTATACACCTATTATACACCCATTACAATCTATTCCACATATCATGATCGTGAGGATATCTTCAACATCTGCCATCTACGACGTTCAACACCGCAGGCGCCGGGGAGGTCCTGCACCTCCGAATCCTGTCAGTTGAAGGGGACTCAGAAAGCCTATGGTGCTATGGTAAAATGAGGTTTTGTGTTTTTTACAAACAAAGATAGACTCAATGAGCTTTTAATTTTTTTTGTTATATGTTAATTAATATGTTTCTGATATGTTTTTTCATGGTTGAAATGTGGATCCAAACTGATCGCATTAACGCTTGAAAGCCACGGCCTCGGCAGGTGACACCATGCCGGCACAGCGGAGAGGACACTTCCCATGCCTGTGCTACGACAAATGGGATTACCCGGCCTGGTGATGTCATAGCATAGCGAACTGGAACATGGCCGTTTATCGTTGGTTAGGCCATTGATAGTGAGTTTTTCATTGTTGGTTACCCTCTGGCAAACTAACGTAACTATGGACAATCAGCATTTTTAATGGGAAAACCCACTATAAATCACCATGTTCAATAGCAAACTGTTGGTTTACCAGAGGGTAACAGCCAAAAGCCAATAGCCATCGCTAAACCACAATAAACCGGGTGTCAAATGGGAAATGTTCAATAGCTGGATGCTAGAAATTGGAATGGGAAATCCTATAAATGGATGATTTCGGTAGCCATTTTAGGAAACCTCCAATTCTGCCATTTGGGAAGGACCGGGGTCAACGCTGTCGCAGCCATTGACTTACACACCTCGGCCGCAGCATTTGGAGGGAACAAAAAACACCATTGGAACCATGGGTAAAACAAATGTGTTCTGTAGATTTTGCCTGAAACCAAGTGAATGATTTTCTGTGTTTTTCTTGAGAAATCACACTTTTTTAATCTGGGGAATGAAGACTTTAGTGAGTTTCACCTGCATTCCTTGCAATCGTGAAATCAAAAACTCAAAGTTTGGGCAGTCTACTTGGGAGATGGGAACATACCTGTTGCAAACTTTAGGTATGAAAACACATGAACAGCTAGTTTCTCTTCCATTTCCTGATCATTGCTCAGCCCCAAACTCCTTGTGAAAGGTGTGACCGCACGGCAGCCGCGCTAGGAGCTCTCCAGGCCTGCTGCAATTGGATGATTTTCTTAAGACACAGTATATGAGCCATGGTGAGCATGCTATTTTCTATTTTATTTGATTTGTACCTGAAACCATATTCCAAATGATACCAAATCAACCAAACCATCAATAATGTTTTGAGATGTTTTGGATTCTTCAGACATTGGGTAAAAAATGGGATGTACACTCTACAAAAAATTAGACAACAAGATATCGGGAGGAAATGGGAGACCAGTTGGGAAATCTTGCGTGATTTTTTGGAACATATCCCCCCAAAAATGCCAGTGGATATGGGAAAATATGATGATCACACTGTGGATTCAGGGCTTACCCCATTGTTGGACAAAGCCATATATCATATATGTACCCTCCGGTAAACTAACAGTTTGCTATTGAAAATGGTCATAGAAATAGTGGATTTACTCATAAATAGCATGGTGGATCTTTCCAGTTCGTTATGTAAACGTTTACCGGAGGGTATATTAAATATGGTTGGTTCCATAGCATCTCACCTCCTCTCGAATACTGTGGGGGACCAGTTCACCAGGCTTCACCACCCACGGGTACCACATCAACTTGACCCGAGTGGCGCGAAGTCTGCGATGCAAATCACGCAGGTGGGCTCAAACTTTGCCTCGACACCAGGAATGTCACACGTTGAGTCAACGTTGAAAAATCTGTGTTGGTTTGGTAGATACCCTCTGGTAAACTAACATAACTATGGGAAATCACCATTTTCAATGGGAAAATCCACTATAAATGGTCATTTTCAATAGCTATGTTAAATTACCAGAGGGTAATCCCTATTGGCTGTTCGTTGCTTAGAAAATCGACGGGCCGATGACGAGTTTTTTCCTTACACACCATCATTTATCCCAAGATGGTTGTGATTTTCCACCAACCACGGGGGGTTGTTGGGACATCAAAGCCTGAGCCCCGGACTGAGTTGATATCATCTGGTCCAGCTGCCAAGAAGACCTACACTTTGGGCTAGTCATGGCTATTCCTATTGGAGAAAACATTCATTTTTGGATGGCAGTTTGGCATGTTCCGACTGGCAACCCAACTCAAAGCCTTTCTGAAGACAACCGCAAGATTCTGTGACATCTCCTATGACCACAGAAGGCGGCCGAAGGCGACCGCTTCCATGAATAGTCGACCCACCAAGTTCTGATGAAACAGAACTAGCCCATCTCATTTCCATCCAAATCTCCAACTTTTCTTAGCCAACCATCATGTGATATCCTGTGTTTGCCCCAATTTTCTCCATCCCTTTTCCATCCCCAGTTCACCTCTGGCCGTGGCAGCTGCTGTGGAACATGCTGTGAGGAGGTCTCCGGACTCGGCACAAAGCGAAGAGCGGAGACCCGGCGACTGCCGTAGTGGATAAGTTGTCTGACTTATAGTGGAAATCTATTTGATCAATAAGCCGGTAAGTAGAAGAAATTATAAAAGACTATACTATACTAATCCCTCATGACTGGTTCGGTGGAACATATTCAGTTTTTGCTAATGGGATTTCTAATGGTTTCCCATGAGCGATTGGGATTATCGTGGCTACCATGATTTCTTCGGGGATTTGACCACTGCTGCAACGGTGATTGCTGCATGATTCTCATCCCGGAGACATCTTTGGTGATCCAACCCACAGTTGTGAAGTACGAACCATTTCCAGTTGGCGATTTCAACCCCATCCCCCCAATTACAGTCTGATCAATTGTATAATTTTTGCGATCATCCATTGTTGGGATTGTTTGAATCAGAATCTCTGAATTGAAAAGTACATAATAGACCATATCTGACCATATCTGACCATATCTGACACCCCCAAGCAGTTTCATGGATCATAATCCCATCTGGGTAAATTGTAATATTTCACTAACCTGAATAGTTCGGCCATTTGGGGATGATTTCCCTAATAAAAACCATGATTCCAGGGCTCGGTCGCGACGTGAGGTCAAGATGAAATATACCCAGTAACATATATATATATATACGTATATATATATATATATACATATATATATATATATACGTATATATATATATATACATAATATGATCATCCCATGATAATCCCACGGTGATCACATCATTCCTTGGTTGGTGACGTGACATCTGGCGTTACCTGAGATCCTGAGATCCCCAACTGTCTCAAGAGTGGCGTTACCTCGGCTGCATCCAAAAATCGCAATGATCATGGTAAATGTATGGTACCCTCTGGTAATTTAACATAGCTATTGAAAATGGCCATTAATAGTTGATTTTCCCATTAAAAATGGTGATTGGCCATTGCTATGTTAAATAACCAGATGGTAACCTTTACACACATATGGGCTCTGATATATGGGTCATTAACCACATAGAAAAAATCCTACGTCCCGCAATGTCAAGCAATGGGAACCAAGAAGCTTCATGAAGCTTCCCCGTCCGCCCGATCCCCCGATGCCAACGATGCCAACGATGCCATGCGGCCGTCAAGGATAATGCGTCGCACAGAAAGAGACCAACGTTGGCCGACATGATGACTGCCTGGACAGGTCCCACATAATGTCAACCATGGATTCAACAAATTGTGGTCTGTTTAATTAGTTACCTTTTTAGTAGGGTTCATCAATCCGGGTTTGACATTAAAAAATAGATGGTCCTTTTATTCTTTAGATCCATACAATGAGTTGATCGGTGATTTTCGCTTTTTTGGAATCTCATCACCCAATCACTGGGCCAACACATGAGTATGGTACAAACCACAGCCATTTTAAAATGATTCCCCGACTAATCTTCATTTATACAGCCTGCTGACTGCTATCAGTTCTCACGGAAAGTGTTTTGGCCCCCGGCGCAGGGAAGCAGTAAATGGTCATCGAAGGGAGCTGCCTGCCCAGGAAAGTCAGGTCTTGACGCTACTCGTGGTGGGTACGTCTCCCTTTTGTTGTCGTTGCCAAAGATTTGTGAATAAAATCCAACCATACTTGCTACCTGTAGTCCCAATGATTCATTGGTCGAGTATCCCCAGGTGAGGCTTCATGACTCGATCTGGGCACTTTTTCAAATCAGAAACAACTTGGCTAGCCTCCGGTGTCATCAACCGTGGCTGGTAACTTCCCGCAGTAAATGGAGGTTTTTTTCGCTGCGAAAAAATCCGAAAACGATGGGATTTTCCAGCCATGTTAGCCATGGGATGTTCCCCAATAACCCCATGGGATGAGGAAAACCTGGCCCCTTAAGATGTGGGTGAGATCCCAAGGTTGATCCCATCTGTTGGTTTTTTTGGGGTAGAAATCACGCACAGCCATCAAGATCATCAAGTGATGATTCTCCCAAGTCCCAAAGGTAGGGACTACCCTCTGGTAATTTAACGTAGCTATTGGAAATGGCCATTTATAGTTGATTTACCCATTAAAAATGGTGATTTTCCATAGCTATGTTTGTTTACCAGAGGGTAACACATCCCATTTCTTGTTGATCTCTCTGCTGAAAACACCCTGCTTCTCCCGCTTTTTGATGCTTGCTATATGTTGATATTTTTTTTGTTTTTGGGGTACGCCCAATAAACCCTAAACCCAAAAAACATAAACTGGGTATACCCAAAATACTGGTTTAATATGGCTTTAATATGGTTTTTAAATGGTAGATCCCCAATGTTCATGACCAGCCTGTGGAGACGGAGTTTCCAGCTCCTCGTCTGCCTCACCATGTGAAGATATTTCTATGGCTATATTATATGCCACACACATATAATATGATGTATATATATACACATATAACATTTATATAAATGTATATTGTACACAACTATATAATTATCTATCAATCTATCTATCTATCTATATATATATATACATTAGACATATCTGTGTATATTATATATATATACATGTGTAGCACATTCTATAGATCAACATACCTGTGTATGTATATATATATAAAACAACTATGTGAACCGTACAGACATGTAGCAACCATGTCGAGAGCTTAACCACTGAGGAAACTGTGGTAGAATCAACGAACATGGGGGAGATAACCAGCCATGGTGAGGATATGAGACGCCCAAATGGGGGGCATGTAATTAACAACCCCCTGGGATATTATCCAGGTATATGATCTATATTGTGGAAACCAGGTATATGATCTATTGACAATACTGGCAACAACGAAGAAACGCACCTGGTTTCCCTGTGAGGATCCTGAGCATAGTAGTCAGCGTTGTTCCAATAGAAAGCATCCTGGATCTCGAATTCTGTGCCGAAATAACCAGTGACATTCTCCATAGCTCATATGGCAAGCTTCTGCAATAATTAGAATGGACACAAAGGATCAACCTGAGATTGAAGAAATTTCGAACATTCCTGAACATGCATCATCGACTCATGAACATGTACATCATGTACAATGTAATATAAAGATGGGGAATGTTTGTCTATAGTAATGATGATTACAAATATGTGTAATCCATATCAATCATTACAAATATTTGGGGATGATCCCCATCATTTCTATGGATTATAATGATGGTTAACCATAGATTAACCATTATTAACCATTATTAACCATAGATTAACCATAGATTATAATGATGGGGATCATCCCCAACTATTTGTCATGTCTAAACTCCGTGATTTCATCCATTTCATCCACTGGGCCACCCAACTTGTAGGTCGTCGATTCGAGGCCTCAAGCCGCGAGTCGGACAAATTGGAAACCTGGAAACTATGAATATAATCTGTAAATATCTATAACATGCACTTAAAACGAAATCGATCTTTTTTGGGAGCTCTATATATCTATATATCCAAGAAAAAACGAGAGTGAATTGGGATCATCATCATCATCATCATCATGATGTGGGAAAGTATGACATGTCTAAACCACCCAAGCTTCTTGAAAGTGTTGGCAGTTAACATTTCATGAAACGTACCTGCTGGAAAATCCTTGTCATTAATGAGACAATCTATGGATCGTAGGAGATGCATGGAGGATTTTCCATCGGAGGACACACACCAGGAATTTAACATGGAACCCAACAGTGACAATATCCAGCACCAAAGTCATCTTCTTCAACCAAATTCTTAGTTCCACACCAGTGCCCGGGTTAACAGGTGAAGTCTTGAGAATGTCATAAGCATCTGCTGCTCGTCATCCAGCATGGCACAAATATACACTGAATCATCCAATGTGCTTCCTCCAAATTGTCATATTTCCCGTGTTTTTAGTGGTATTTCATATCTGGTTGGTGGTATACCTACCCCTCTGAAAAATGATGGAGTGAAAGTCAGTTGGGATGATTTTCCATTCCCAACTGAATGGAAAGTCATTCAACATTCCATGGTTCCAAAGCACCGACCAGATATATTGTTATTCCAATTATTAACCATTATTAACCATTATTAACCATTATTAACCATTATTAACCATGATCAACCATTATTAACCATTACTAACCATAGATTAACCATAGATTAACCATAGATTAACCATAGATTAACCATAGATTAACCATAGATTAACCATAGATTAACCATAGATTAACCATAGATTAACCACAGATTAACCATAGATTAACCATAGATTAACCATAGATTAACCATAGATTAACCATAGATTAACCATAGGTTTCCCACAGAAAAAAATTGGGGGAATCCCCGATCCACTATTTTTGCACATCTCAGCCGCGAAAAGGCATCGTGCATGGGGGTGCTGATCAGGTACCTGCCATTTGGTGGTTCCAATGGCCGCCGAACAAATGGGACGTTTTTGTGGGTTGAAGACCCCAATCTTTTGGTAATTTTGGGTCATACCAGTTGAATCTGCTGGAAATCTAAGGGCTCTATTTCTGGTATGGGATTGGGTTACTTGGTTTCAAGCGATTCCGCTGCTATCCAATCACTTTTCCTGTCAACTTGTCAAGGACAGATTATTGATACCAGTATTATATGCTGGCTGTACACTGTACACTCATACTGCTGAAGTTTCTTTGTCGCACGGGGAGCGACAACACCCTAGGTATCACAATCGGTCGCAGATACGCAAGAACAATAAACACATGGTTTCTCGAACAAATCAGCATCTCTACTCGTCCTATCATCTGGTTATTTAACATAGCCATGGAAAATCACCATTTTTGATAGGTAAACCATCTATAAATGGGCCATCTATACCATGGCTATGTTAAATAACCAGAGGGTATCTCTATTGATCCCTGTCGGCTTTTTTTATCTACACAAATCATGTTAGTTGCTCCAGCAGTTGCTCAACAGGGCGTCAGACTTTCACAGCCCAAAAACAAGGTGAAAAAAACCCAAAAGGGGCTTTAAAAACACTTGTGAGTGTGATATACTTATTTTATCTTATTTCATCCATTTTTTGTGAATAATTTCCTATCTTACTGGGATGATGGCCCAGATCGCCCAATCTATGCTATAACTCGATATAAAGAGCCTTTTTGTTGCCTATATCACTCACCATTCATGAGTTTCAGCATAGAAATGAGTCGATCATCATTTTCCAAATAAACACCAGCATTTCTGGATGTGGACACATCTTTGAGCGGGATGTTACCTCATCAATAACCTAAGAAAGTATGTACTGCGCTGTGGATCCCGGATGTGCAAACCCTGGTCGATTGATTCCTTTGGGAACTCCCCCCAAGGAAACCGATAATCTGCGACTAGAATGCTAAGGTTAACCCCCAATTAAACAGCCTTAGGTCAACATTATATAATCTGGGGTTGACATTCTATATACATTCTATTTATCTTAAACAAAATAAGGATTCACATTACTAACCCATTTCCAACCCCCTACTTGTCGAGCTTATGATGATTTTGAACTGCTGACGGTAGTCATGGCATACTGGCTCCCACACTAGATGAGCTTTCAACAGGAGACTGGAAAAAAAAACAGAGGCTGGCTTAGCAGCTCATTCGCTAAATCTGGTTTAATCCCATAATATCCCATATTTCAGGGTTAAAACAATTTTGTTCCCAACTACTTCAAAATATCACTATTCAAGGTGGTTTCATCCTCGAAATCACCTGTCCATCTGTGTGAAAACACAATGGCAACACAACGGCAACACAGCGCACCAGCCACTGAGTGCAGTGGCTAAGCCGCGACAAGGTTCCACCTGGGGATTGGTAAGAACATATGGGTTTTCAATTCGAGAACTCCCAAGAATCAGTATCAAGACAACCATGTATTCTTTTTGTGATCATGTTATATATAAAACATATGTGTGTAATGTTTGACATGATTTTAGATGTGTTGATGATGAAAGGTTTGATTCCCAAGAATTTTCACATTGATCAAATGCGATCATCAACCATCACTATCCAATTGTATCATACATCTATGGGATATGTTGGGCTTTCATACCACACATATCCCATCACTGAGCCATTAAAAATACCCCGTTTTCCCATCTCATTGTACTTTTTTTGGTTGATAGCTGTCCCTCTTGTGGGTGATCATAATCCTCAATAAATTAGGTAATATGACTTAGCTCCCTATATTAATAAATTAACCAGCTATAAGTTGATTTAGAACCCCCATTAACTATAGTTACAAGAACTATAAACCATCGTTATTGGAGTTATGTTCACCAAGTATTCACCCCTAACAGTCGGGTATAACAAAAAATCAAAATCATCAACCACTATCCCATAATTTCGATCTATGATAGGGGATATAATGGTGATATATTTGGAGGTATAAAATACCACCAATCATATGTCATATGCCAATCCACCAATAGATACCCTCTGGTAAACGTTTACATAACTATGGAAAATCACCATTTTTAATGGGTAAATCAACTATAAATGACCATTTTCAATAGCTATTTTGACATAACCAGAGGGTAATATCCACTGACCTCTGTCACTTCCCTCACCGGGCCAGAAGTAAAAGGACGCCGAGAAACTCCGCCACAAGCAGGTCCGTAGATGGAAGGAAGCGACACCTCCACAAAGTCCCGCAGGGAATCTCCCAGCCTGGCGGGGAAAATGACCTTGATGTGGGGTGGAAGTGTGTTCTTGATATGTGCATATATATATATATGTATACATATAATGTGTATATGCATGTGTATAGTTATACAGTTATACATTTATATATATATATATATACACATAAGTGTTGTGTTTTTGATATGTTTTGATACTGTGTATATTTCTTTTCGGGTGTGAACAGAACTTATTTCCCAAGCTGTCAGATTTGTTTTGCGTGGTGTTGACAAATTTGACCCATCAATTTTCCAACAAACAACGCCAACAGCCCACAATCCCAGACATCTCCAGCCTGCCCAACTGACCTAGCAAAGGCCACGCCAAAGGGCTCAAACGAACCATGGCCAACACTGCACGCAGAATGGGCGCATAGAGACCTGCCGCCAGTGAGGATCAGCATCCCATGGAACATGTGAAAACCAGTTTTGACCAGTTTGTTCCATGGTTTTTGGCAGCCAGTTTAAACTATGGCAACTATGGTTTTATCAGTGGAAAAAAAAACACGGTTTTATCAGTGGTAGCAACCAGTTTTTGGCATCTCCAAGCTGGACTGCCACTGAGAACTCACTTCAGATAATTTACCCTTCCAACATCTTCCAACATCTTCCAACATCTTCCAACATCTTCCAACATCTTCCAACCCTGGATCGCAGTTTCATGGATCATCAATCCTTCTGGGTAAATTCAGGGCTCGGTCGCGATGAACTTGACCCAGATCGGGCCACGGAGGCGGTGAAATCGATAAATCGATGATCATGTTCCACGGGAAAGCGTGCGAAAAAACCGATGGAAGCCTCCAAAATGATGGATCATTGGATGAATCTTATGAGGAGCAACCATAGTTGCTAATCATAGTTGGTAATCATAGATGGTTCAAGGGTTCTGGATTTTGTTGTCCATGGAAAAAAACGGCCTCGTTGAATGGCGATTTCCGTCAGGAGGTTAGGAACCAAAATCAGCATCTCCGCCAAGCAAATGCAGGTCAGAAAGAGCCTCAAAAGCGATCAAAGCTCATGAAAATCACCATGTTTCATGATTTTCATGGACAAAACAACTATGACCATGATGACCGGCATGCCATACATTCGAAGGTTTGAGTACCGAAGGTACAATCTTGTACATCTTCTCGTCCAAATTTTTACATGTTTGGGTTTTGAAATCCAGCCCGCTCAAGTGCCGTAGCACTTGAGACCATTTTTGTTTGGAAGGATAAAACCCCAATGTTTGCTCCTCACCTTGCGTATGTTTTAATTCTCCCCAGGTTGGTTTGTTTTCACATCACCATGTTCTGCGGCAAAAAAAGATCCATGTTGCAACACAAGTTGGTTCCGTCACAAATTCCCATTTTGCAGGTGGCATTACCTTTTTTTAGCCAAGCCGCTCAAGCCGTGAGGACTTTATCTGGTCAATTTGAATCCGTGATTTAATCCGTTATAGAAAATGGTCTAGTTATAGTTGATTTACCAAAAGTGGTGATGTTCAATAGTTATGTAAACGTTTACCAGATGGTATCTATTGGTGGATTGGCATATGACATATGATTGGTGGTATTTATACCTCCAAATATATCACCATTAATCCCCTATCATAGATCGAAATTATGGGATATTCACTATAGATTCCCCAAATGGTGGATTTTCCATTGGGAAAATAAAAAATCACCTTAAACAAACCCAAGTATTTCCTGGTAAATTTGAATCTGTGATGTTGAAAAAATCCCATGGATGGCCGGCATTTTCTCGGCCTCACAAGGCGCGCGTTGCGCGGCCGTGTGTCGGATGCCTCATTCCTGGCAGCGAGAGAACTCTCCAAGCTCTCTCGAACTCCTCGTTCTTTCTCAGCAAAATATATGATACATGTATATTTACATGCAATGTATCATCAATTTCAATACATTGACACTAATATGAAATATAGAAGAATTGCACTAATACTAATATGTCATCATATGTCTTCATATGTCAATAACCATACAAGATCTAAATATCCCATGGATACCATGGAAAAAAACATGGATTGGATCTGGGATCAACCACCGCCGGGCGCACGGCGCGGACACCAGCGGTGGCGACTCGATGCGTTCCGTCCGTTCCGTCCGTTCCGTCACCTCGTCGCCCAGCTCAAGCTGGACTGCCTCGGCGTTGTCTTTTTTAACAAAAATTTGACCAATAGAAAACATAGAAAACATATAAAGGCATGAGAAAAAATCCGGAAATATGATTGGTTTATATTGGTTTATATGATTGGTTTATGTTACAGGTTTGAAACCAATTGGACCAATTTCGATCTGAATGACGTTTTTTTGCCTTTTGAATGGGTTCGCAACCAATGAACACGAGGCTTTTACCGACAAAAAAAATAAGGTGAAATGGAACTATAACCAACAAATGACTGGTGGAATTGAGGTATCAATGCCAACTCTGAGTGGGTAAGGCTGACTGGGAAACAGCCAACTCTGATAGGAGAATTGTGGCATCGCTTTGGCTTTCCCAGTAGAGTCGTGCGAGATTGACGTGGACAAAACTAAACCACCAGTGGGTAGATGATGCTTGATTGTTTTACCCTTGTCCTGTCGTACTGTGACGAACCTCACTTCAGCTTGTGTATACTAACAGATATATAGATAGATATAGATATAGATATAGATATGACGCCATGAATCGATACCCATTGTTCTCTCAAACACGACATCTTTCTTTAAAAAAATCCTCGCTTCTAGGATTTCAATTCCCTTAAAAAAAACACACACACACTTGATGCTTTCAGATAAATGGTCCGCCGAAAGCCCAGCAAAAAAAAGGTCGCCGCCCTTCCGGGAGCATCACTGGAGACCATGCATCAGTCCTCATCACCTGGATGGCTCTACCAGCCAGGGGGATGAAGATCCAGCGAACATATACCGTAGCGAACTTTCGGGACAGTTCTACCAGAAAAATCACCAGAGAAACTCACCAGAGTTTCTATGGATTCGGGAAGTGATTTGGATTTTTTTTTGGTGATCAAGTAATGTCAACCCCGGATGAGACTAAACCCTGGTTTCTGACAAGGGGGGTACTCCTCCAATAGTCATTTCATCCACATTTCATCCAATACTTAAATGGCGCCCCCCAATGAACCAGCCGTTTGAGGTTTATTAATCCAGGCTGGGATCACCTACAAATCATGTCTGAGAGATGCAAGGGGCGGCACCTCGGTTGAAAAGGTCCAACATGGTCCAACCACTGACATCCACATCTCGCTGTGGACAAAAACTGAACAAACATACCATCTCTCAATCGTCATCTGTACATATATCAAAGTATGCACATGCACACACACACACATATACATATATATATATATATACGGCATATGCCTGGGTTTTGCCCGGACCCGCAATGACGACGGGAGACGCAGCATCATCATCATCATCATCAACATCATGTTCATCAACATACTCATCATCATCATCATCATCATCATCATCATCATCATCAGCATCAGCATCAACATCATCAAACCCTTATTGACGATCTTCAATGAATGTAGAAGTTTAACGGGGATGGGAGAATTAAACCCTTATTGGAGATCTTCAATGAATGTAGAAGTTTAACGGGGGTGGGAGAATTAAACCCTCATCGAAGATCTTCAATGAATGTAGAAGTTTAAAAGGGGTGGGAGAATTAAACCCTTATTGAAGATCTTCAATGAATGTAGAAGTTTAACGGGGGTGGGAGAATTAAACCCTTATTGAAGATCTTCAATGAATGTAGAAGTTTAACGGGGTGGGAGAATTAAACCCTTATTGAAGATCTTCAATGAATGTAGAAGTTTAACGGGGGTGGGAGAATTAAACCCTTATTGAAGATCTTCAATGAATGTAAAGTTTAACGGGGGTGGGAGTGCAATATTCCCTAATACCGTTTTTGTTTTTCGCATAGGAATTTCGGGTGTTTGACATTTTTTTTTTAAAATATAGTCCCTAGTACCTTTGTTGTTTACCCCATAGGAATTTAAGGTTTAACGGGGGTGGGAGTTTAATATTCCCTAATATCTTTGTTGATCTTCCTAATTGAATGTTAAGTTTCACGATTTGAGAGTTTAAAATGTCCTAGTACCTTTGTTGTTTTTCCCATAGGAATTTCAAATGTTATGCCGTTTTTGTTTTTCCCATAGGAATTTCGGGTGTTTTGACCTTGTTTGTTTAATAGTCCCTAGTACCTTTGTTATTTTCCCCATAGGAATTACGGTAATTTGCAACATCATTTGTTTGTGAATGGGAAACCTCTACGCTGCAACGCCTGGGCAAAACCCAGGTGTTGCGCGTATATATATATATACACATATATATATATATATACATGTATATATATATACATATATACATATCTCATAATTATTCATAATTCATATATGTATAGGTCCGTATGTACACCATATGGAAAACCACCTTTTCTTGCCGGCCTGGGTCCATGGCGCCCACTGCGGACACTTCAACTTGGACCGCGCGGACGGTTTCTTTGTGCTGTAGCAATCATCAAACCGTGGACCGATGGACCGATGAACCAAAGAACACTGGCAACACATGGCAAAACTGTCTGAGCAGCACGAAGCCATGACAAGGGCTGAATTATTTAGATGCATCATCCTGAATAAGATATAGCATTAATCGCATTCGTATTCCCATGTGTACATGCTTTATGTTATCTCCTACCTACTCCAGAATGGGCACACATTTATGAAGGTGATCGAACACCTGTGTCGGACATGCCCACAGCATGGCATTCACATGGGGTGTCCATCAATTTCTCATGAGTTTCTTGAGCAAGGACGGCAACAGAAACTACTTACTCTTAAAACTGGTTGGTGGTGCAATAACCATCTTGAAAAATATTAGTTAGTCGATGGGAAGGATGACATCCCATATATGAAATGGAAAATAATCCATTCATGTTTGAAACCACCAAGCAGAAAAGGTTTAAAACGATTATCATTGGATTGGTTTCCATGGTTTTTACCATTAAATATAGAGGTTTCCGGTTAAAATTTTCCCTTAAACCAATCCAATGAGATTATGATTCCTACTCAACTCAACAGGCATCAGTATCTCCAGGTCGGTGTCGCGTCGATCATCTACCAATGGGATGCCTTTCATATCTTTCATTGCCATGTGACGACCACCAAGCAACCAACTTGACCACTTATGAACTATTATTGACTATCTGGTTGGTGGTTTCAACCCCTCTGAAAAATATTAGTCAGTTGGGATGATTATTCCCAATATATGGAAAAATAAAAAATGTTCCAAACCACCAACCAGCTATCATTTTATGACAATTCCAGAGCATCTCCCCTGTTTTTGCTGGTTCATTGGTTCATTGCTCCCCTGTAAAAATGTCTCCGAAAAACCTGGAGATTCGAATCGATTCTTCAACCAGCCGAATCAACGTGACGGACGTCTCTCGGCTTCTTTGTTGCAGTGAGATTCGGAGAAAGTTTTGGATATGAACAAATCTTTGATGCAAAAGGATGAGCTTAGAGAATGGCAATTACAAACTGGCACGAGGCCAGCGAGTTCGACACACAGCAGGTCGACTGACTGATAAACAGCAGGTCGACGTTTTCCCACTCGCGCTGAGTCTTTGGTCTGCATCGGACTTCGAAACAATGATCTTATACACTTTCGTCTATGAGAGACCCTCTCGAGCTACACCAAAGTTCCTAAAAACCTTGAAAATTCTGCGCTTCGCATCAACTCCGGTCAGGTCTTTCTCTCGACTAAGTCCAGCAAGCGTCTGTCCGGACAGACGTGGCCGGAGTTTAGACAATCAGCCCTGCCTGGCGCGTGGAAGAATCTCAGAAATATCTCACACCGAAAAACTGAAATTGATTGGCCTCAGGACAGTCTGACCTGCAATGGGAATGCCAGTTTTTTCCCGAGAGCGTCTGAGCGCAGGGTTCTTCCAATAGTGGGGGTCTGTATCTCATCTTCTCATCTTCACATCTTCTCTCACACCTTCTCATCTTCACATCTGCTCATCTTCACACCTTCTCATCTTCACATCTTCTCTCACACCTTCTCATCTTCATATCTGCTCATCTTCACATCTTCCCATCTTCACATCTTCTCACACCTTCTCATCTTCACATCTTCTCTCACACCTTCTCATCTTCACATCTGCTCATCTTCACATCTTCTCATCTTCACATCTTCTCATCTTCACACCTTCTCATCTTCACATCTGCTCCTCTTCACATCTGCTCCTCTTCACACCTTCTCTCACACCTTCTCTCACACCTTCTCATCTTCACACCTTCTCATCTTCACACCTTCTCTCACACCTTCTCATCTTCACATCTTCTCTCTCTCTCACTCTCTCTCCTCTTTCCTCTCTCCTTTCTCTCTCTCCTTTCTCTCTCTCCTTTCTCTCTCCCTTTTCTCTCTCTCGCCTTCTTTATCTTTCTCTCTTTAGGCCGAGGGTGGTGCCGGCGGGGAGTCACGAAACGTGAGCCCTTTCCCACGAAATGAGGGTCGATCGGCGAAAACTGCGGTAAAATTGCGATTTTACTTGCCCCGGAGCAACCTTTTCGCACGAAATGAGGGTCGATCGGCGAAAACTGCGGTAAAATTGCGATTTTACTTGCCCCGGAGCAACCTTTTCGCACGAAATGAGGGTCGATCGGCGAAAACTGCGGTAAAATTGCGATTTTACTTGCCCCGGAGCAACCTTTTCGCACGAAATGAGGGTCGATCGGCAAAAACTGAAGTAAAATTGCGATTTCACTTGTCCTGGAGCAACCCTTTCGCACGAAATGATGGTCGATCGGCAAAAACTGCGGTAAAATTGCGATTTTACTTTTCCTGGAGCAACCCTTTCGCACGAAATGAGGGTCGATCGGCGAAAACTGAGGTAAAATTGCGATTTTACTTGTCCCGGAGCAACCCTTTCGCACGAAATGAGGTTCGATCATCGAAAACTGCGGTAAAATTGCGATTTCACTCCTTTCGCAGGAAATGAGGGTCGATCGTCGAAAACTGAGGTAAAATTGCGATTTCACTCCTTTCGCAGGAAATGAGGGTCGATCGGCGAAAACTGAGGTAAAATTGCGAGTTTACTTGTCCCCGAGCAACCCTTTCGCACGAAATGAGGGTCGATCGGCGAAAACTGAGGTAAAATTGCGATTTTACGTGTCTGTGTGTAAAAGCGTCCGTGTGTAAACGTGTTAGTGTGTAAAAGCGTTTGTGTGTAAAAGCTTGTGTGTGTAAAAGCGTCTGTGTGTAAACGCGTCTGTGTGTGTAAAAGCGTCTGTGTGTAAAAGTGATTGTGTGTAAAACGTCTGTGTGTGTAAAAGCGTCTGTGTGTAAAAGTGATTGTGTGTAAAAGCGTCTGTGTGTAAAAGCGTCTGTGTGTAAAAGCGTCTGTGTGTAAAAGCTTTTGTGTGTAACTGTGTGTAAAAGCGTCTGTGTGTAAAAGGGTCTGTGTGTAAAAGCGTCTGTGTGTAAAAGCTTTTGTGCGTAAAAGGGTCTGTATGTAAAAGCGTCTGTGTGTAAAAGCTTTTGTGTGTAAAAGTGTTTGCGATGCAAACTATTGCCTTGCACTTCTGCTATTTTGTCTTAATACTCCTCTTCTCGACTGCATATAACACATCTTTAATGTATTGTTTCTAATATGGTGTCTCCATACTAACAAGAGAAGACCCTGCTCCTCTACGCTCTCGGGCCATCCGTCGTCTAGTGTAGGTAAACCATATTTGGTATGAACCTTCACCCTCATAGCCGTGTCCACAGTGATGGTACCAGTATTTTACTTCAGTTTGCTCAATTTCTCATTGATTTTACTTTCCAGACTCTCTGGGTCCGAGATATTCCGCCAGGCACAAATCTTTAAAGATTTCACTTTTTGAAACGTTCGCGAAAGAATCAAATGCCACAACTCCCGAAGGGTCCACAGAAAACCAGTTTGCTTCCAAGCAAAAAAGACGTCGTCTTGAATCCTACCCTCTGGTAAACTAACATAACTATGGAAAATCACCATTTTCAATGGGTAAATCCACTGTAAATGGCCATTTTCAATAGCTATGTTAAATTACCAGAGGGTAACATATCACCAGAAGCTTTTTCCCCATGGCTGGTCTGTATCGCTGGTGACCCAACCAACTCATCCCCATCAATTCTCATTTCGGATCGGGAACTCCCATGATGGAAAATTTTAAGCATATTTGAAACTAGACCAAACAGTTTCATTGATGATCTCTCATTGTTTTTGGATGAACTCAAATTCTTGCTTTGCAACCTGTGATTATACAACTAGATTGCCAGCAAAAAGGCATCTCAAACCCGTTTCAAACGAGGGGTTTTCTATCCGGTCAATCCCGTTTTTTCTATGGGTTCAAACATGTTCAAACCCTGATCTTGGAATCTTGCCTGCTTCAATCGTAGCTTTCAGAAGATCTTTCTGATCCGTCTGTTGTGTCTCCGGTTTTCAGCAAGACCTTCGGCAGCTGCCGCATGGCCGTTGGGCCGTTGGGACACGGCACGGCCCAGAGAGAGAGTCCAACACAGCGCCAGGTGAGTCCAGGTTGACCCAAAACTGTGGTGGCACCAAATATGACCAGAAACGCTGTCCAGTTTTTCGTCGATTTCTCAATCAACATCCTTCCGAATGGATTTGTTCTTCAACATCTTTTCCAAACGGCATTGTAAATTCACCAAATCATCGGTGCCAAACCACCCATCTGAACTCACGGATTTCGGGATCCATCCCTCAATGAAACTCAAACCACGGCGGTTAAAGGACCGGACAGGTCCGTTCCGTCCCGCCGAGTTCCTTGGGTCTCCGAATGAAGGGCTATGCACCGAGTATCTCCTTGACGCCTTCCTTGATGGGTCGCCAAGGAGTTCATGGCCACATCGAGTTTCGATGGGAGATGCTGTTGTTAAACTGCACACCAATTGATGTGTATATATAAATCATCAAAACCACCATGATATGCATCATATATATATATATATGTGTGTGTGTTGTAGTTACATGTGTATATAATTGTACTATATTTACACGTGTATTTATGTATATGGTGCTGCCGAATGATTATCTTTGTTCAGGATGTTTCCAAGTTTGATGTTGGTGATAGTGAATGGCAATATCGCCGGCTGATTGATACGTTGGTTCATGTTGGTTCATAACCTATCATGTCATCACATATGTCGGCAAGTTCCCCATATTTGCTCGTTTGTATCGCTCTTTCCGGCTAATACCTCACCAGGTTATAGTTATATCTTTTTCCGAGGTGCTTGATGTCTGCTTTTAGACCCAATGACACATCCATCGCAGTCTTGTTCTTAGGGTTTCATTGCTGTTGGTTTAAACTTCCCAAGTTGTCCAAGTTGAACGGCAAGTACCAAGGCCAAACTGAAGTTCAGCAGTTTGTGGGACCCATCAAAGGGAACATCCCCCGTAAACATGATGGCCTTAAAAGCACCTCCAGGGTACTCGGGTCAGAAGTTGAGGTGAATTTGACTATCCTTTGCCCCTACCTTTCA